TAATCTTGTTAAATTAAATATAGAATATGAAAATATACTCAATTAGCTTTCATTTAGTTTTGGTTTCATGTAATTTGGATTTAAAATGAATTAGTTATGAATTTTTGAAGTTGCAAGCTAGTTGCTGGAAATTTAAAGCTTTTCCTTTTTGGTCCGTAAATGAATTTTTATTTGAAGCTGTGGTGCTTCAATTGCCTTGAAATTTTTACTGGAACTTTCCCCATGGGTTTTACACTACTCAGAATTTTTTCACGATTTTAGAGCATTTCTAAATTTTTTTAAAAATCTGAAACTATCTGCTGTCCATGTTTTTATTGCAGCTGGAAAACATATTTTTAGATGATTTATTTCACTAACCTTTTGACATTGGATCATAGCTTAAATTTCCAGTTTTACACTCTCATATGTTTACTTCCAAAATAAATTAGGTTTACCCAATTTGGATGTCAAATGAATTTTTCATGAATTTTCAAAGTTGGAAGCTACAGGCTGAAAATATGTTTTCTGGGCAGAATTTGTTTCAAAATTGTGGGTCAAAACTGTTTCAATTGGGAAAATATTTTGTTAAACTAAATTGATATTATCAAATTACAGTGTTTAAGCTTTCATTGGGCTTTGGATTCATTTAATTTGGGTTGGAATTGAATTTTTTATGAATTTTACAAGTTGAAGGTAGCAAGCTGAAAAATCTGTTTTGTGGACCGAAAATTTGAGGCGATTTCATTTCGGTGGTAATTGGGATTTTCATTCCAATTAAGGTAGGGAATGTTTTAGGATTATTTGTGTATTGTATTGTATGTTTGCCATGATTATACAACATATATGTATGCCTTGTATCAAATCTAGAAAGTTAGTAATTTTTATTTCTTTGTATAAGATTTAAAATTTATGATGATATGTAACTTTGATTTGAATTGTAACATGATAGGAAATTATGCTTAGATATGTTGGTTAACATATATTAAATTTGGATCATTTGATTAAGAATTACAACTTTTATTTAATATTTATCTTTAGTGAAAGTTTAATTCACATGGTTGTATCAAGTATTAAATCAAGTTGTAATGTGGTATTTAAATAGGCCTTGGCATGTTTTTTAACATAGATTAAATTGAGGGCATTTGAAATTATTTAAAAATCTAGAGGAAATTAATTAATTAGCTTGATTAATTTTGTTTTAAGTGTTTTAATTACTTAACTTGTTATTTGATGTTATATATATAATGACCATGACATGTCTTTCAATATATATTAAATTGAGGTTATTTGGATTAACTTGGAATTTAGAGAATTTAACTATTTATGTTTAATTAAATTATACTTTATTACTCCATGGATTTAATTGTATTTTGAAAGTTGTTTCTATATTTAAATCATGGATTTGGATTTGATGTATGTTCATTTGATTACTTTTGAGCATTAGATAACATAGTTGTTACTTTTATATTTATGAGAATATGTTTTTCCTTATTGAATATATTATTGCTATGTGTAAAGAATTACACACTTTATATTTGACATCTTACATGCCATAGTAGTTGTGAATTTTGAGTATGTATTGTATAAGTTTCCAAAATTTGGATTGTGCTTGGTAAATAGTTGATATCTTGTATATACATGTTGATATATATACGTTGTTGCATAATTTGTTGATTTTGGAAACTTGGGGATGTCGTTGTTCGGCTACGGCTAGGACTTGGTTCTAGTACGGGGGATTGTCCCTCTATATAGTCTAGTGCGCACATAGGGAGGTTACCCATGGGCTAGTAACCATAAAGTAACTATGTTGTCGGTCTGATCCGGCGTGACGTCCGAGTATCCACTTTATTTGATTTCATATTTCATTTCAAGTTGATAACTAGATGATATTGTAACTTGTTGTTCCTTATTTGATTTCCTATTTTGAGCTTAAGATGTAGCTTTGTGAAAGCATGCTTCATGCGTTGTATTGGAAGTTCCATTGTTGGTTAAATTGCATCGATATCATAATTTGTGTTTTGATGTTCAAATGTAGTTTAGGAGGAATAACCTTATAGATTCATTTTGAACATAGACGTTAGGTGGTATGACCCACACTTGTTGTTTTCGTATTTTGGATTTCAAGTTGAAGACTTTGAGAATCTATATCTTGTTGCCTTGTATAACATGTTTCCATGTTGTTTGAATTGCATGAACAATGTGATTATGATATAAATGATCTAGGTAGCTTAGGATGCTCATTGGGTCTCATCTTGACATAGACGTTAAGTGGCATGAGCCCCTTTAACATGTTTCACCATAAGGTGATAAAATTGTAAAATACTAGGTCGATGCGTGCTCATCTCCTACGAGTAGCTTTATGTTACTCACCCCTACGATATTGGGGCATATTTCAGGTACAGGACTCAGAATTTGAAGATTCCATTGCTCCTTAGATGGCTTACAGTTTCTAAGTTTCTATTTTATGCAAGTGTTAGCATAAGATGCCTCTTTGCAGCCCTATTTGTTTAAACTTGTATTCGTTGATTTGTATATGTAAAGTGTACGTAAGTGCACTCTTTTCAATGTATTTAACATGTATGAGATGAGGCCGGAGGCCAATGACATGTATCTCGTTTTCTATGCATTTTTGTTTTCAAAGTTTATTATGAAAATATTGGAAAATGTTAAGTCATTGCTTCATAACTTTCGCATCGGGTGTTTGAATTTCATATCTTTTCTGCCCGGACTCAGAATCAAACGATTCTTGAGTCTAATTTTGTTAATTTTTCATTGTCCTTCCAATGGTGAGCACGGTGGCACCCTTTTCAGTGAGAAATGACCATTTTGCCCTTAATTCATCTCTTTTCGGGTTAGGCATTCTTGCTTCATTTGCTTGGCTCATTTGAGTTTCGTGGTTTCATGGAGAGTCATTTTGGGGCTTTAGGGATGACGTACATCTCTTGAGGTCATTTGGCTTCTTTCGCTTCCGCATTTCAAGTCCGTTATCGGGTCAACTTCTGGTTCATCACTAGCGCACCGGGTTGAGAAATCCGGGTCGTTACATTATTAGTGTATTTGAGAGTTCCCGAAATTTTTTGGCTTCGTCCTGGCTTCCAAATGGTAATTTTGAAATTTGAGCTAACTGCCAAATTTGCGTCCGTATGCCTAACTTTGCGTCCGAGCGCCCATTGTCATGCTGCATGCCACGACAAGTGCAAGGCTGTGCCACTACGCACCTTGGCACTTGGGATCCGGACGTCCAAGCCCAAATTTTGGCTCAAGCCCATTTTCTCTCCTTATTTTTACTGTTATTTGGATACCAAACCTTAAGCGGGGCAGAGCTACTGTATGCTTGGGGGCATGTGTCCCCCTTGTCAGTCATAAGCCATTATAATAGATATGTTTTTTCTTTTTCTTTTTTTCTTTTTTTTTTTCACATATGAATGAAAATTTCTATATCCCCCCCCCCCCCCCCCCCTCTTTAGATTTCTTTAATTTCGTTAAAAAAAGAAAAAGAGTTAAATTTCTTATCTTCAATTCATGTATGACTTGGGAGGTTTACATTATTTATTTATTTTTCATTGGTTTAATAGACAAACTTGAAGGAGTGTCACAACATTTTATGCTTATTTTATTATTTATGTATCCATTGATTTACTTACGACTTTGGAAAGTGTTATGATATTGTTTTTCTGATATTGATATTTATATTTGGGCCTATATCATGTTTGAAATAGCTAATATTAGTTTGAAATAGTTTATAACATATCATATGTTTTGATCCAAACTTATATCACCAAATTTGTGATGGTGCATGTTTTGGTACTATAACGTTGTAACTAAAAAAAAAATTTTTGAATTTTTAAAAATAAATTTTTGTTACCTAACATGGTTCTGATTTCTATCCAAAATACTCCTACAATAAAATGATTGTTTTAATATTGACAAAAAAAATAACACCTAAAACACATTGTATGCCAAACAGATCCTTATAGAGGTATCCACTCCCTATCAATTTTCCCTACAAAATCTTTTGTACAAAATCAAACTTTTCGCATTGCCCAACTCGTACATCCATCTTTATAGGGGACATGAACCAAAGGACTTGATGACCTTACAAGCTGTCCTTATAAAATATGCTTTGGCTTACACTCCGAGCTTAGTGAAAAGAATGGAGGATGGCTTCTAGTTATTAAATAGCAATCAACACAATAATATAATTAGCATTCATGTAGACTTCATCAAACAACATAATCCAAACATTAAGATTGCCTAACAACATTTCCCTCTCATACCATTCAGTTGTCAATTGCCACATAGAAGTAAGTGGTCCAAATAACTTAAGACATTGTTTAACATGTGGAGCACTCACCTTTAGCCACAACTTTTCCACCTCCTCGTCCTGCAATAATTTTGACTAGTGCCGGCGTCGCACACCTTTGCACAACTAGTGAATGAAGCCATCCAACGAAGCTCACCCTTTCAATATTAAAACAGCGACACTTTGACCCATTATCAAATGCATTTAGAAAAGTAGCTTTAACAAGAAGTCTTACTCTCCACGCGCTTACTGGGCGCGTGGATCACGCTTTCTCAAATTTAGAAACACAAGGAAGCGGGAAGGTGTGTGACTGTGAGTTGTGGAGAGAACGGCCAGAAAGGGCGGCGCAATCAACGCGGCTAAGATATATCCATTTCCGTAAATAAGTCGAAAAAACAATGGCATTTCCATGAAAGTTAAAAGCACAAAAATACAAACATGGAAATCTGGCGGTTTTGCGTGTAAAACCCGAAATGGCCTCGTTTTGAATAATCCAACCGCGCGTCCTTTGCCGCAATCTCGACCGTTCGTTTCAGTCCTCTGGGTCCACCAATTTCATAAATATAAATCAACGGATTCTGTGACAGGAGTGATAATAATCAACGGTGTGATTTTCACCTTTCACTTTCGTCCTGGCCTTGTTGGAACTCACCAAACGAAATTGGTCAAATACAATAAAAATCTTCTTTTATGGGACTGTGGATTCGGTCCCAACTCGCCAACCCATCATCATAGACCTAAGAATAGTCAGCTTCTTTTACCATTAACCAATCACTCCCCTTTATATGAAGAGAGAGAAACCATTAACCCCACCACCAGTTTCGCTGTCTCTCACTTGTGTTGCTTGCTTTTATCCAACTCTTCTTACTTTTCCCTCTCCTTGATTTTCTGCAACTTCTCACACCTTCCTCCTCTTCAGTTCCTTCATTTTTGTCAGGTATTATTTCTACACCGTATATAACATATATATATATATATATATATATATATATATATGTATAAACATGTGCCTTTTGTAATAATGAAAAATATATATATAGTATACTAATTTGATTGTTTTTAACGATTGGTTTTTGAAATTTTGAAAGGTTGGTTCAGAGAATTAGAGATTACGAATGGAGTGCAATTTTGAAAGAGCATTGAAGTCAAGTTTTTCAAGAGAATTAGCAACCCAACAAGTATTGCTTGATGATTTGTTTTGTTTGAATAAGATTAATGGTGTTTCGTGTGATGATTTTTCTGTGGACGTTTTTCTGGACTTGTCTGGTGAAGATTTCAAAGATGGGTCTGTTGAGGAATTAGAATTAGAATTAGAAGAAGAAGAAGAAAAGGACTCTGTTTTCTTGTCGTCTCAGGACCGAGTCGGCGACGACAATTCTGTTTTTTCCGGCACTAGCGATTCTGGATCTCTTGCCACCGACGAACTCGCCGTTCCGGTAACAATTTATTATCGAATATTGATTTTTTTGGGGTTTTTTATGGTTTAATTATTAGTAATTATATATAACAGAGACCCATCTTAATAGGTTGATGATATGGAGGACCTTGAATGGTTGTCTCAATTTGTGGACGATTCTGTATCAGACTCGTCTCTTTTGTGTCCCGCCGGAAGTTTTCAGGAGAAAACCGGTAATTTTGCAGGAACCCGGTCTGAACCGGAGGCGGAACCGGCTGTATCCGGAGTACCATCACCATGCTTTCCCGCACCGTTTCCGGCGAAACCCAGAAGCAAGAGGCCGAGAACGAACGGTCGGGTGTGGTCCTACGGCTCAACGTCTCTGACGGAGTCGTCGTCTTCGCTGTCGTCTTCTTCGTCAACGGGTTCTTCCATGCCTTGTCTAATTTTTGCGAACCCGGTTCATGACATTGACGCGTTGTACCGAGTGGGTAGACCGGCGGCGAAGAAACACAAGAAGAATCCGGCGGCGGATTCTAGCTGTGGGTCACTGACGCAGCGGCGGTGCAGCCATTGCCTGGTTCAGAAAACCCCACAGTGGCGAACCGGTCCTTTAGGCCCCAAAACCCTCTGTAACGCTTGTGGGGTTCGGTATAAGTCCGGTCGGCTCTTCCCGGAGTACAGACCGGCTTGTAGTCCGACTTTTTCCGGAGATGTTCACTCTAACAGCCACCGGAAAGTGCTGGAAATGCGGCGGAAAAAGGAGGTGCCTGTAATGGAGTCCGGTTTAACTTCAATGGTTCCAACTTTTTGAGAAATAGTCAGAGCTGGAGATATAGTGAACCGGAATAGTTATTAGACCCGGTTCAGTAGACTGGGCTGGGTTCCGGTTCAATTGTACAATTTTGGTGGTGGGTTCCATTTGTAACATTGCGACTGCATTTAGGGAGGTTTTAGTTCTATTTTTTTTTTTTTTTTTTAAAGAATTTTAATTATATAGTAGAATTTGTAGGCTTGATTAGTGAATAGAGTGATATAAATAGTTTTTAAATTAATTTCTTGTACTAGTATTTTTTTTTGTTTTTTAATTTATGATTGAAAAATTCTCAGTGAAATGTGGGTTGGATAGTTGGATACATCCATATCTATAGCTTTATTTGATTGGTTTGGTTCCTAGCAACATTTATTTTGTGTGGGCCCACTGAAAACGTGTTTTCCTTGTTGTGTGGCCGTCAGTAAATGGTTATGAATTATCTGAGTCATTGATGCTATTCTGACTCGGTCCATTATTTCACCAATGGCTTGACTTGAAAAGTCGTGACTCAGATGGCCCAATGGTTCAATCCTATCCAGATTCATTTTTTATTAGAGAATACAGGTCTTCAATCTTCATGCACTAAATTAAAATACTAATGTGGCCAGGTGTCAAAACAAAACTTTAAAAATACTATTGTGGCCCATGGCAGATTCCTTTCAAATTACTCCATTTGTTTCAAAAATTTTGCCATCTCTATTTTTGGGATATTTCCGAAATACTTCTCCCATTTCACAAAAATAATAATAATAATAAATAAATAAATAAATGTATTCTTTCCATAAAAAGTATCCATTTTTGAAACTTAACTTGTTAAAAGAGTGCAGTTTTGATGTTTTTGTTTTGTTTTATTTTTTTTTCAATTATAATGGTAGAGAATAAATTTTTAAACATACGGTGGGACGTTAGTTTTATAAAATTTCCAAATTACCCATTTTACAGAATTAACTAAACAAAATAAATTGTCAAAACAAAATATATGTGATGTCACTTGGTGCTAACATGAATGGGTTATAAACTCATTAATGACCAAGGACCTATTTGAGGCATGTCACGAATGGGTTGGATATTAAATAGATAAGTCAATCTAGGGATACACACGATTTGGTTTGAACCGATTTGAAAGTTTTTTTAAATTAAATTATTCCTAACGGTTTCAAAAAATCTAAAACCAAACCGAACTATTTCACCAAAGGAACCGAACTGTGAAACACCGGTTCAGTTTCTATTTATTTATATATTTTTTTTTTCCCTTTGTTAAAGAAATATTCATATTTCAAAATTCAAATGTACAACAATAACCTAATTTTTTTTTTATTTTTTATTTTTTATTTTTTTGTTTTCAAGGCAAGAAATATTAGAATTTATATTAGTAGATGCAGAGAATCAAAGCCTGACACTCCAAAGTTCACAAAAGGCATTAACCTACTGAACTATTGAGACATTTGGTTAACAATAAACCAAGTTAACTAACACATTCCGAACGACTAATTAATTCACTTCTAGAACATAAATTAATACATTAGAAATTGCTAATATATTCAGAACTTCTAATTCATCTTCTGTCACTTCTGGAACTGAAGTGAATCCTAATACATTTTGAACTACTAATTTAACGACAAACACCACAATTCATAAAACCAGCAACATTCAACCACTGTAAAATTATATTATATTATATGTATAATTTTATATATATATATCTCTCTCTCTCTCTCTCTCTCTCTTTTAACGATTTGTTTTGGTCTTAAAGGACCTCAAACCATAACCAAACCATAGTTTTACGGTTCAAAAAAATTGGAACCGCGACCGAACCAAACTGTTAGTAAACCAAACCAAATTGTTCAGTCTGGTTCGATCCGGTTTTGTTTTTTAGTTTCACCGAATTTTTGTGCACCCCTACTAAGCCAACCCACATTTAATCCAATAACCTGATTTTTTAATAAAGTAAAATAAAAAAAATTTATACACAAATATCTTACTTGTTAAAAAAAACGAGTCGTACATATAATCAAAAGTTGGATCGACTCCAATTCATCAAAAAAATTATGATAAAGTTTTAAAACTTAACAAACTTCGGGCTCTCATGTCATTTATCATCTAGCTTGAAAAAAAATTGTATTAAATAAAATAAAGTTCATTATATATATTTTTAATACAGCTAGTAGAAGTACACTACATATATATATATATGTATTTATGGAGGAAAAGGAAAGTGGAGAGCTTAGAAATGTAGGGCTTGCTTGGTTTATAATTATAGAAACAGTTTTCTGTTCTCATAGAACTAAAAACTGTAAACAAAAAACTGTAGGAAAAATTCTGATTGGTTCACTTTTTTAAAAACTGTTTCTTGAAAACTCAAGTTATAAAAATAGTTATTTTAAGATAACAATTTTTTATAATTCTCTGAAAACGGTTCTCTGTTTTCTGAATTTCTGAGAATCATTTTGAAAGTTATAAACTAAGTATGCTCATAACCTTTCGGATGGGTAGATCTGTTTAGAGAGAATAAATAATCTGTTAACTTGTTTTTAAGTTAATTTTTCAATTGCCCAATTGATAATGTCTCACAATTTTAAGTTCATTTTTCAATTTACGAATATGTTAAGTACACTTCAAATCAGGACCATTGATCTAATATGATCTGTAAAATTAGAGCAATGGACTAATAAATTACTGTGACTCTTTGAGAAATGGTTGAGACTTTTTAGTTCATTAACTTGTCTCTGAGCATGAGTTGTGTGATTGGGCCAAAAAGAGAACAACCTGTGTAAATTTAAAATAGAGACTGTAAGATTATTTATTTAATTATGGCCCATATGATTTGGACATGTAACATATTATTTGGTGACTAAGTAAATAGATATGAATTAATATTATTTATTTTAGGTTAACTTATAATTACATTTTTGGTAATTATTTATTGGAGAAGTATTTTTCTTTTTTATTAATTATTTTGATAGAAAGTAAAATTATGTTACTAAAAGGAAAACTGGTCCTCTCTCTACCTTTATAAAAGTGCATATACTCCATCAATTATGTACGATTAATGATACAATACGTAAAAGTTTTATATGTATTTATATCTAACTAGTATTTATTTATATATTATAGAGTGAAAATCATGAAGTTCTAAGATATGGGATTCATGTAAATTTGTGATTAATGGGTTTCACGAATTATTAAAGTTTACATGTGGTAAATTTATAGTTTAGGAACTTGTTATTTTCCACTAAAGTTTGCATAAATAATATATATATATATATATATATATATATATATAAATTAAAATTAAATAATTAATTTTTTTTTGGAATCATGGGTGCGTAATGGATTAGTATGATGGATCAGTTGATCAATTTATTTTGGTTTGCATGACCGATTTTTGAGCCTATAAATTGATTTCTATAAATTGATTTTTTATCCTTACTGAATTGTTTGATAGTTGAAGTATATGTATGAGTTTTTTTTTTTTTTTCGTGGATGACTAGAATAGCAATTAGAATAGAAATAGTTGGTTTTGCTTTTTGTGTAAATCGAGGTGATGAATTTTAATGCTAACTAATGGTTTTTGTACAAACTTATATATATACTTATTATCATATATCATTAATTACATATATGATAAATTAATGGAGAGTGATTTATTTTATTATAAAAAATTAAATTTCTGGAATAATGTGAGTTTAGAAATTTAATTTAATTTTGTTAGACATACAAATAAATTATTATTTTGTATCCAAACATACATACATATTGGAGAATCAATTTTAAAAATAACATATTTATTATGTATATAAAGTAAAAGGATATTTTTTATTGAATTTTTGGACTATTAAGTTTTTGGGATCGAATCTACCTAAATTTAGATCGATCAGTATGAGTATGTGTATATAATATTAAATGGGTAAATTAATGATTAATTAGTTACTAACTAATTTATTATTCATATTATGTAAGGGTTAGTAGCTACCAAAGTGGTCTAATCATAATGGTCGATAAATATTAATTTTAGTAGTAAATATAACTTAATGATGAATTAATCTCTGTCTAATTTAATATTCATATTATGTGAAGATTAGTAGCTACTAAAGTGGCCCAATCATGATGAATATTAATTTTTGTAGTAGACATAATTAATCATAAATTAGTTACTATCTTATTTAATATTCGTATTATGTAAAGGTTGGTAGTTATCAAAGTGGCATAACCATAATAATTAATGAATATTAATTTTAGTAGTAAACATAATTGCAATATTTCATGAATTATGATACTTATTATTTTTTGTGATATTCATGAATATTGAGTTTATTTAATTATGAAAAATAATTCTCGAAATGAAATTGATTTTCAAGTGATTAAATGAAAATTAAGGGATTGCATGTATTTTTTAATTAGGTAGATATATGATATCCAAAGGTAACTTATCTCTTTAATTAAATAATATATCACCAATGAAGGTATACATATAATTACAAATAAGCATCATTATTGGTATTTTATAGTTGCCACCCAAAGGGGTACTATATTTATACATTGTATTTATATTTTTAAGTTATATATAAACGTGGTGTTAACTCAAAGTATTATTGTTGTGAGCATTGTGACGACCCTGGTTTTTAGGCTAGCGTGTCCTGTAATGAACCGAAGATTGACCAAATAATATGCGGAAGCAAAAAATAGAAAATAAGACTCTAAGAAGTCAAAATGACCTTCCATGAGGTCGTGGAACTCAATGAGAATTGACGCGAAAGCAAAAGACCAAAAATATGACAAATAAGCCCCTAGGGGCAAAATAGTCATTTTTGAAAATTGTGGACTCGGGTGCCACCGAGCACACCACTGGAAGGACAACGAAAAACTAATCAAGATGGACTCAAGAATCACTGGATTCGGAGTTCGGATGAAGAAAATATGAAATTCCAAAGTTTCATAAAAATCACATTTTTGGGTTTTTAATCAATGCAGTAAGGGTACTTCGCAAGGGGTAAAATGGTCTTTTCTGACAAAACTGAATGTAACTGAGCATACCGTTAGATAGACCTTTAGACTCAAGAATCACTTGATTCGGAGTCTGGACGAAGAAGATATGAAACGTCAAAGTTTCATAAAAACCAACTTTTAGGTTTAAAATCAGTGCGTCAAGGGTACTTTACAAGGGGTAAAATAGTCTTTTAAGATATAATTTGGTGCAATCGTGCATACCGTTATATAGACCAGCAAAAAATAATAAATTTA